TCTGTTTTCTCAGCATCATCTGTGACGTTTGTCACCAAATGTGTTTCAGAAGTGTAAATAAATGTTGAATCCAGTGTGGCAGACAGAATAAAGTGCATACTCTAGAGGTAGCACTTTTTTTTTTCCTAAGATTAAACAAAGCTGTCAATTCCTAAAGTAACTTAGAGCTCCTGTTATGGAAAGAAGAAAGACTTCAGCCACAGGGCCTTAAATCTTTGAGTTCTGCCAGTCAGGTCTTCACTAGAAGTACATATTTGTACCATCTACAAGTTTTTGGTGTTGCAGGAGTGTGTGTGTGGTGGGGAGTGTCTTTCCTTCCATAGCTCACCTTCTATTTCTTTTTTTTCTGTCAGGGTACAAAAACCATTTACAAATATAGCCTATTCTTCTTTATGGTCTTGTTGAAACATTACCTTGGATAGTTATATTAAAGGTAATGAAGTACAAATAGTGATTGTGTGGACAGTATTCATTATGTGTGTTTTAATATTCAATGTTCCAAAAGAACATGAGTAAGAATATTCTGTCAGCAGAGTTGTACTTGATGGCTCCACACGGTGGAGTTAGTGTATTTTATGTTTTGAACTGATGCTACAAAGTCTAATCTTTATCTTGCTGTTATGTGGAGCTTTTAAAATGTGTTTTCGTTTAAAAGAAGGCTAACTACTAAGCAGACATGTTTTACATTTGCAACAGGGTCTAAGAGAGACAAAACATCCCTATACATTTGTTTCAAAAGAGGGTTTTAAAGAATTACTTATGGTTGAAGGTGCTACTGAAAAAGCAATTCCGTTGTTGCCTCGTCTAGTTCCAGTGTTAAAGGCTGCACTGGTATGTCTCACTCTTCATACAGAGATCTTCATGGGTTTGATTTATTTTTCTTTTTTCTTGTGCTGGTGAGGACTACATGGGAAATATTAATGTGATAAATCTATTGCATGGGCTTTTGTTTTGGGGTTTAGAGGGTGGGAATAGTTTGTTTTTCTCATGTTAACTTTGCCTTGGTTTTGTTAGATAAATATATCTTTAACTGTAAGTTCAGATGGGCAATTCCTTGTATAGCTGTATGACAGTAGCTATAGGTAAATTCTCAGAAATGTTCTATTAAAGAAATAAATATATGTATTGGTGGTGTTTTCATATATCCACATAATAACATGCAAAAAAAAAATTGAGGTGAAGTAAAATGGAGATGCGAGAATAAATACTTATCTGTTAGATTTAAAAATTCAGAACATGCTACAAAAATAAAACAGAATATGCCAATGAAGAAAAGGGAAGAATATGGTTAAAATGTTTAAGGTCATATTCTTAATTTTAAAAACACTTTTAACTTTTCTACTCCTTCAGAAAATAAAATAAGGTAAAGTATTGGCCTCGAAGGTAGTATCTTTTGGGTTTTTTTCATATCTTTCAGAGCCCTTTTCTGGTTCAGCTACTTGCTGTCCTTTAATCCAGCTGTTTCAGTTTTGGTCTTATAGAGATGGCTGAAAGTTTGAAAATTCTTTGTGATCACATATCAGAGCTGTAATAGAAGATCAGAATTGTGTGTTATCAGTATCTTTGGTTTAGTTTGGATGACAAAATTAGAAGAATTATTCTGATCTATTCTTCCATTTACTGTTACTCATCTGATAATTTTCATTGTTGCACTGTTCTGGTATAAAGTCTTGTTAAATCTTCTACACAAGCAGTCAATGCCTTCTAGTTTAAAAAACAAACAAACAAACAAACAAAAATGTTCAGGGCCCGAATGTTAAAGTGGAAAAATAACTGTTTAAATAAAGGTCAGTATTAGTACAAGAACAAAATAAATTATCATAATCGATTTCACTGCTAAAGGAAGAGGGAGATAACTAAACCATTAGAGAACTCTAATAGTATAGAAGAACCCTCCCATGGGAGCAATAAAGATGACAAAACACTCTAGAAGTAGATCAGAGCCTGATAATTGCTGGCAGGTGACAAAGCTGTAGTTGACAGGGGACTAAATTTATTGAGCCAGAAAGTCATTGTCTCCTGTGTTTCTCCGACAAAGACAATTATTGCTATGAATTACCTAGAAATTATGCTGATTTCATTACATTTGTAACTAAAATAGTATCTCACAATTTCAACATATCCACATTTGAAGGGTTCTTGCTGTGTGAATATGCTGTGAAGCATTAAAATTGTTAGTGTAGTCAACTGTTGGTATTGCCTGCGGAATTTTTTATTTAATCAATAATAAATTATTAGTTTTCTTGTCTGAGAAGAAATGCAAAAGTTTCATTGACATTTTGTGGATACTTTTGTTTTCTACATTAAAAATATACTTCTGTTTTTAGATGTTACCTCTAGATACTAACATTCAGTCATATTGTACTTGTATTTCTAAATGTTTTACATTATAACAATTAGCAGTGTCACAGTTGTTTTAATTTTAAAAATACCATATACAATCATAACATAGAGATTGCAGTTTTTAAGAACTGGTGCATTTGTTTGAATATTACTGACAAGATTTTCTTTTTTCCTCCTCTGAAGGCTCATTCAGATGATGAAGTATTCGGAAGGGGACTGGATGCTTTAGTTCAACTGAGTGCTGTTGTTGGCCCAGCTCTTAATGATCATCTTAAGCATCTACTCACAAATGTAATTTTTTAGTGCTGTAGTGAAAAATAATCTTTATTTTTATAGTCCTTTTGTTGAGATGTTTACTATAATATTTGCATCGATACAGTGGAGGACTCAGCAGTTCCATGAAAAGCATAATTTCATGTATTCCTCCATATAAAAGTCCATCATTTTTTAATAATACGGTGCCTTATAATGTTCTAGCAAGATCCAAAACCTGTTAACATAAATTGGAGAATAACGGAAGTGTTGTCTATGCTATTTAAAAAAGATCCGTCTTCAAGACTGAGGTGAAATAGATCATAGAATCATAGAATGGTTAGGATTGGAAGGGACCTTAAAGATCATCTAGTTCCACCCCCCCTGCCATCAGCAGGGACCCCTTCCACTACACCAGGTTGCTCAAAGCCTCATCCAGCCTGGCCTTAAACCCTTCCAGGGAGGGGGCATCCACAACTTCCTTGGGCAACCTGTTCCAGTGTCTGACCACCCTCACAGTGAAGAACTTCTTCCTAATGTCTAATCTAAACCTCCCCTCTTTCAGTTTAAACCCATTTCCCCGTGTTTTGTCATTAGTAGCCCTTATGAAAAGTCCCTCCCCAGCTTTCTTGTAGCCCCTTCAGGTATTGGAAGGCCGCTATAAGATCTCCCCGGAGCCTTCTCTTTTTCAGGCTGAACAGCCCCAACTCTCTCAGCCTGTCCTCATAGGAGAGGTGCTCCAGCCCTCAGATCATCCTGGTGGCCCTTCTCTGGACTAGTTCTAACTGGTCCATGTCTTTCTTATGTTGGGAGCTCCAGAACTGGACGCAGTATTCCAGGTGGGGCCTTACAAGAGCGGAGATGCTATGTTCTGAAGAGAAGTTTATGTTTATTGCAAAATGAGTTTTGCATTTTATGTGTTAATATTAAAAAAATGACTGTGAAAGTTTCAATAAATTAACATAAGCCAATAATCCCACTTCTTTCAGATGGGAACTCTACACAGGGAGGTTTTCGTTAAATAGAGTGGGATTGTGGAAAGTATTTTTATACTGTAGACATTCTTCCTCTGTAAGACAGGCTTTTCATGGTTTCATTTAGCCTGCTTCCAAAGTGCACTTTTTCAGCAAAATAGAAGGATCTTTTAGCCATCCAGTGCAAAAGAGAGAAATTACAGTAGTATTTTAAAGTATTTCCAGTATAATAAATGTCTTTCAGTGCATGTGAAAAATGTGTTAACTTTTCATGTGGACAGCACTTTAAGAATTACTTTTTTTTTTAAGGTTGATACTTCTTTAAAATATATTTGCTAAAAGAAAAAAAAAAATGGAAATAAGTATTCTTTAGTCTAACAGTTGAGCCTTATTTGAATTGAAGTTTCTCAGCAGTTAACATTTTATTGCTTTTGCCTTGACTGAGTTCCATACTTCCACTTCCAAGTGGACATCAGTTACAAGCTATAAAGTGATGTTTCTTTTTTGGTTTTAATTTTCCAAAGATAAGATGAAATAAACTAATAAAATAGAATTATATTGGCCTCTTTGCTTATATTCTACTATGTTGTGCAACAAACCTTCTTATTTTACTTTTCCAATAGCTTTCAAGGAGGTCAATGGACAAGAAATTTAGAGAAAAAATTACTGTTGCTTTACAGAAGTTGGAGCAATATGGTGGCAAGGTAAGTTGATCAGATGATTATTCTGTGATCTGCACATCTGAATGCAACTTTGCCGAAACAACTTCCAATTCTGGTTTTCAGATTAAGAATCCTATTCTGAAAACTGCTTATTTTTACATCACAACTATCCATATTGCATAAAAGACAGGATTTTGTACTGTGGCAATCAGCAGAGTTGTGTTTCCAGTCCATAGTAAAATAGTTGTCTGTCTTATGTATTAAGGGATAATAGAAATGATGTTAAATCTAGTCTGGGTCATCCATATTCTGGCAGTTAGGTTTTGTTGTCTTCCATTTTTTTATCTCCCACTTTTCACTTGTATTCTCTGTTGTTTTAATCTCTGAGCAGGAAATACAGGAGTATGTCTCAGTAAAATATTCCAGGGGATCCATTCATACATAAGAAGCTACATGGCTGAACTCTTACAGCACAGCACACCAAGCCCCAATCAGGAGAACTCTTTTTGGGAGCAAGTATGCATCCACGTGGAACCCTACGCATGATCTTTGCTTGGAACATTTTATTCCCTTGGTGGGAAGCTTATGCAGACTTACTGGTTAAAAGAACTCACTGTTCTTTTTTGAAAATTCTCCATTTCTCTAGAAAGTCCTAATTTTACTTTTATTCCAGGGTTTGAACTGGTGTGATGAATGGGTTAGTAACATAGGGTAAGACCCAGGATGCCTAATATAAGTATTTACTCCAAGTTAGGCCTTGCAGCACTTAGAAAGTAGATGCTTATTCTGAGTAAAGTATGTGAGCTTCTTTTACAGACCGTAGAGTAGGATAGATGCCCATGAAGAGTGATCCAGGAATTCACTAAATGTCAGCTAGTAAATAGCTTCTGACCCTTTCTGGACTATTGACACCTGACTCAGGCTGAGTATTTGTCTTGCTTCAGTATGCCTGATATACAGGCTTCGTGTTCCTTTTTCTGAGCTTAAATACTTTTCTCAGCAGGATTTACTCTTGCTAGAAGATCCTTTCTGGTGTTATTGATGATGCCTGCCCATTCCCACTAATAACTTAGTGTTTAGGGCACTTGCTGAAGAAATCAGATACTTACATTCTAGCTCACCCTGATTAACCCAGAGGTTAGATCTGCAATTGCTATAAATAAATAAAAAATTTAAAAATGCTTTAAATAATAGATAGCAGAGAATTCTTCTGCCAAACATTCTTTTGTCATTTTTTTTGTTGTACTGTACAAAGTGTAGAAAGGAGGAGAGAAGAAAAACTGAGAGAGTATTGATTTGGGTATTCATCTAGAGGAGAAAATGTTTGCTTTCTTAACACTATGGACACTTGCATGTATTATATTAAATGGTCATTGGTAAAGTATAGGAATAACCTAAAGAGTAGGGACCATAAATGTAGGTCTACCAGTTCTGAGCTTGTGCGCCCACATAATCAGTAGACACCACTTTTTTTTTTCTTTTTTCCCCCCACTTATATTCGTTTAAGGAAACTAGCAGTGTTTGTATTAGTTAGAAAAACATCACAATAAATAAATAAGCATGAGAGTTTTTTATTTATAGGTTATGGGACAAGAAAAGGAAAATTACAGCTCATCTCCGTGTTCTGAAAATTTAGGCCTAGATAATGTAACTAATCCTTATTAACCTCTAATTGTTTTCTCTCTCCCCTGATTTCTTGTAGTCTTACAGTTTTTCCGGTAGGTCTTTCTGTGTGTCTTCCAAAAATACTGTAATAAGGCAGAAAACTGGAAACAAACTCCCAAATTGTGATTACAAGCAATATTATGTAATCCAACTAATGAATTTATGAAATTTATATTCTGAGTTGTAATGTATATAATTCCTATTTTTACTGGAAGTCCATTCCAGAATATCACTCCTCTGTTTAAAAATCTTTATTATTTCATGCCTATATTTATGCCCAGTTTTAGGTATGAGTTTATATACCTCTTCTCTTGGATGTTTACTTTCCATCATTAGGTATCACAATACTCCATTTTTTTCAGTTCATTATTTTCAACCCTTCTGATAGTAAATTTTTAATGAAATATTAACTTTAGAATTTTCTAATTTGACAATAACAAAGATAACTAAGTAAAAGTTGTGAATTATACAATTTATAGAGACGATATGAATACTCTCTCATGTACTGCTAGTGCTCCTTGTTTTGTTTAAATATGTTTTATTTTCGTCAACAGGCATCTGTGACTATCATAAAATCTAAAATTCCAACCTATCGTTCTATCTCCTCTTGAACAAGAAAATCGCAGTGATTTGCACTTTAAGGTGAAGTTTGGAAAGAAACTGCCTGTGAACATCACTGACATTTATTTGGCGTATGATGTATTCTCTTAAATTAATCACAATTCTTCAGTGTGATGGAGTGTGGGAAAAGTCCTAGCAGTTTGTGAGTATGTAATTATGGAAGACGATTTAACATAATTCTCTCTGTATTGTGTATGCATTGTCCTTACAATGACATTGACTAACTGGCTGTTATTTCAAAAGCGGAGTAAATATTGATTCTTATTTTGTTGTAAATTACAATTTCTTTTAATTTATCTGCAGTGCTTAATATGTTTTATATATTTGTGTGATGCACAATAATTTGTCTGTAATTACTTAAATAGTAACTAACTTGTTAAATTACTTATGTATACTTGCTTTTGAAACACATATCTTCATTTGTGTCACAGGCACAGACAGATGTAGTTTGAGTTCAGTGGGACTTACTGGGTTAGATGTAGAACTGTGAGAACTCATCTAGACTTCTTAAGAGTCAGCTTTTAAAGGTATGAAGCTGAATACACTAAACAGGTAGCATATGGTGCAAAACTGAACTTGCTCACTGCATTCTCAGCACATTGTTTTGAAAAGCTGCAGAGAGACTCTGGAGCGTACAGTGCAGAGGCATCAAGTTGCTCCATAAAGCCACAGCCTAGGTTTTGGTCAGCTAATGAGTTCCAGTTAGCTTTGGGCCTACTGAATGTGAGCTAGATGTAGGAAGCAACTTTGGAGTATTTATGCTGTGCTCCCTTTGCGTTTATATGCTTGGGACTAGCTTGTGTATTCAGCTCTGGACAAGCTAATAAACTTCTGAATGTGGAAGCTATGAAAAAAATATGGGTTAAAACCAGTAAAAATATTACAGAAGTCAGCTTACCCACCTGTCAAGCATTGTAGGGTGCAGCGTTTGTCCATGAACATATCTGAAGTTGATTGCAAAATAATTCCTAACAGGTCTTGTTGTTATCAGTTACTCTTTGAGGGAGAGCTGATTGAAGTAACAAAATTTGCCATAGAACGTTTTCCCCTGAGGAAAATTCAATTCCAGAATTTAAAGTTGTTGGAAGAGGGAGTTTTTGCCATCAGAAGATGCTGTTGCATAGGGTATTAAAAAAAAGTCTGTCATGTGAAAACAATTTCAGAATTTTTTTGAAAATTACCACTGTTTGGCTAAATTAAATTTACTTCAGGACTGTGGTAAGATCTCTACTGAGATCACAACTGTGCTAAATGAAAAAAAAAAAAAAGAAATTGTTGTAAAAAATGTTTAATTTGAAGAAATACGAGTATTTGTTTAACAACTCAAAAAATCAGTCGTGCTGCTTGTTTTTCTTCATGTTTACTTTATTTTTTTATTTTGTTTTTTTTACAAAATGTGCACATTTAGTTTACACAAACAAGCTACAGCAGATTTCAGGTGTACATGTATTGTACTACTCTTATTCTACACTGGTGATAGCAGAGCAGCCTTCAACATGCCTCTAATAACCCATCTCTACACCAGAATAGATACCTGATTTATTTTTGCAAAAGAATACTTGCAACATTCTTTCTACTTCATTAATCCCCTTTCTGCAGCAATGTCACGATGAAGATTGGCATATCTCTGATAGCATTTCACCTATTTTGGAATATTGGCATAAATTCTGTGGACAATACATCTTAAAACTTACATGGATGGAGGGCAGTATTGTATTTTAGGTACATGTATTTTAAGAAAAATCTTTCTGTGTTCAGAATTAAGGTAGCTCCAATCTTAATGAAGAAATGGTCCTTAAAAAAATGTAATACAGTTATCACATATAGATGATATTATATAGCTGAAGTTTCCAAATTTTTCCTCATTCTGTCTCAGAATTAAAGGTATTACAAAAAGTTGAAACAGATGTTAGCCTGTCTATCAGTCATTATTAGTAGATATTACTACATAGTGATATTCATTCTGAGCACCTAACTGGGATGGAATTTTCAAAAGAAGTTCATGTCTTTTTCTTCATTAAAGGCAGAAAGACACATACTCATGAAAACAGTGTTAGGATCCAGTTAAGGTTTCTTCAAGAAAAATTCAAAGTCAGAAGGTCCTTAATTTTAAGCAAAGAACATTGCGGACATGTCCAAGAAGAATTACAAATACAGTATGTAGGACTCCTGATATTCATGTCATGATAAATTAAATGCAGATTTTCTAGGTAAGTATGATTGTTAGAAGCTTACTTGTGTTTGTTAGGGAGTAATGCTACCTATAAGCAATTTATTTTTTTGTTCTGTAAGAGTTCTTCTCAAGTTATTTATTTTGTTAGGTTTGGATTTGTTTTTTTTTTTTTAAGAGAAAAGCAAGTCAAAGGTGGAAGGCAATTGCAGCGAGATGTGCATTGCACATTGATTATAGCACTTTAACTCAAAGTATTATTCAAAAAATGAGGACTACACCATACAAACGTGAAAAGAAAATACATGGTAATGCCTCTGTATAAATTAGAAGCTAAAATTTAAGAAATACACTCAAATATCTGGAGCTTAATCCAGTACAAATTATTAGCAAAACTAAGAGCATTTATTTAATCTCCTTGTGATAATATCTATTTTATCTAGAGGTTGGAATTATAATAAAGCTGTGTAATGTCAGGTCTTATTTTGTTTGGGTTTGGAGTAAAAACTTGACTTTTCAGAACAATCTTATAAAACTAAGTAGCCACTTTTGAAACGCTGAATTGTATATTTTACAAAGTTTTTTTGGGGAAACATTTGTAATAAAAAAATTATTTGCATATTATGTCTCAGTGTAAAGCTGAGTAATTTTATTTATGATAAAGTGGGAAATCCATCTTTTAGATAATGTTGCAGAATAACTCATATGTGTCCATTAGTTGTAGACCTAATGTCTTCATTAAATCACATTTTCAAAGAGCTGCATGGATCGCATTATATTTTCATCCTGTAAAAAAGACAACAAAAACACCAAAATCATGCACCATTACAAATGTAGGTGGCAAATATCTATAGTGAAATTGGGTAGTACTAACTGTTTTTTAGTTAATGACAAGATTATTTTTCAGCTTCTTTGAATAAATTGTTAGCAGAAAAAGGCTACACTTAAACAGACTTTTAAATACATTAATTAAATCAAAAGTATTCTGTCCAGAATGCAATAGCATGTTAAGAAAACTGTCTGCAGTATTTCAGAGGTTTTAAGCTTATATCCAGTATAACAAAATACATATAGACAATAGGTACTCAAGGATTAATAGTTGTATCTGAAGTGTGAATCTGTACATGAAATTACTAGTCCTGTGCATCATACACAGGATCCTTTCTGCAATTCTAGGGCATCCTATTGCATAGCTAGGGATGACTCTAAAATAAAATAGATTTAAGTGTGCATCTTTGCATGGACCGGAGAGTCAGTCAGTTCCACAAATATCATCACAACACACTGACTCCTCAGCTCAGATTTTGTGTCTGCTTGCGATGAAAGATGTTGACTGCTTTCCAGTGCTACTTCTCCTTCCCGATTGCTTTGCATTAGGTAGGTGACAAAACCTTCCACTTCCAGGTTCTACATAATGCTTACTGATGCATCACTCTGTACGCCAGTTTTTATCAGTAAATAACTCTCAGCACAGCAGTCAGGAAAAAATACCCTTTTTTGGGTAACATTTACTTTTCAGTGAATAGAAGAAAGAGTTTACTTGTAGTAGCCCATATTTGGTGGCACTTGCAGATCAAGAGTTGCTTGCACAATACAATATATATACAATATAACAGTATATTTCATGTTCATTTAGCATTTGCTGGTGTCCACTGTAATGATCCCCTTTTTTAATCTGAATGCACTCCCTTTACTACTTTCCCGAGAGATAATCTAGCCATGTTTAATACTAGTGAATAAAAAGACTGAATTTGCTAGAATATTTTAGGAAGTTTCTTGAAAGAGGTGCATAAAAACCCCACTTCTTAGAAAGGTTATCTCATAGTTTGCTCCACTACTGATAGGGATGTAGGCCTTCTGTTCATTAATGTTCCAATAACACATGTTCAGTATCAATTTCCAGTTAAATTATTCACTGTTCAGTCTAGTGAGCGATTTGCTTTGTAGAAAATGACAAGTCTGAGTAATTTTCTTAATTTATGTTATGAAACATGCACAGTGGGGTTTTTCATCTTTGATTCTGTGTGTCATCTCAAGTGATGTTGCTATAAGAAGTCATCCATGTACTATATATGTAATTTTAAAAAAAAGTTATGTAGATTAATGTTTAAAAAGTTTGTATAGGAAACTGACTATATTAAATTGCTGGAAATTAAAATATACTGACTTTTTCCCATTGAATTTTTTTGAAACATCAATATACTGTTGAAGATCACTGATTAACGTAAGGTTAAAGTTTGGTTTAATTTGAATCATTTGGTATTTAATTATTTACAAATGTTTTTGTATATACATTGGCAACTAAGTTCAGCAAAAACAAACAACATGCTCTTAATTTGTAAAGCGTTTTGACACTTCCTACCGAATTTATATTTATCAATACTAATGAAACCAGTAGTTTTCTAAAATCAACTCTATATTTCTGAAGTTTGCTGCTTTTTTATAGAAGAATTCCAATGCCCCTCTAGTAGATGGGATGAGAAGATTTTTTTTTTCCATCTTCAAGAAAGAAAGAGAAAAACCCAGATGCTTGCATTAGAATTCTTTGGCAAGTCTATCTTTCTCATTTGCCTCTTTTTTCAGTACATTTTTCTAAACAATTTTTTGTAATAGATTTGTTTAATGATTCCTAACTCAAGACATTAGGAGATGTTAGTGCATATGAAGCACAAAACATGGATGAACAAGCTTTGCCAGATCATAGAATCATAGAATGGTTAGGGTTGGAAGGGACCTTAAAGATCATCTAGTTACAACCCCTTAGATCTGACCTAACTTAAAGCCAAATTTGAAGTTTTTCTTATTGATGTTTGAGATGGCTCCATTGTTGTTTTGAGGCTAGCCCAGACCACCCGCATCGTGTATGGAATGAGTTACTCCTGCAGAAATCTTCTCTCCCAGAAGCCCTTTTATCATTATCAGAAGGACCTTTAAGTCATTCACCTTGACATTCACCTATGCACCATGCGTGCCTTAGTCCTTTGCCTCTGTTCTTCATGGTGCTGATATAGACGTGAAGCAATGCTCGAGTCAAATAATTTTCCACCAGCACCAAGCAGCAAAAGGAGACAGGGAGGAACTGGGTAGCACCTAGCCCTTGAGTTAGCCACACAACTGTTTCCTAAGACCTGTCTCTGCTATTTGGTAGCTTCTGCAAAGTGGGACAGACAGCAGCTGCTTTCTGGGACTCAGTCCAGCACACCTAGAGCAGGATAGTCCATTTCTTCTGTGGAAGCAGGGAGGCTCCTGGAGTCTAGATGGCAGACTAGCATTTAAGGACATGGGTATGTGGGGTAGGGACATCAGGTCATACACATTCCCTGTCCAAGACAGAGAGAGGGTGAGGGGAAGCACCTTTCCTGACCTCACTTAATCATGGGCACAGATAGGTCCTTTTACTCAGTGACCAGAGAAGACCACACTCAAAGCCTAAATGCTCTGTAATTCCCTATATAATAATGCTTAATGTTTTGTGAACATGCAGGCCATTCTTTGCATTGGGACTGTGAATTTAGGATCCTAAACTTGCTGTGTACCTCAAGCTGCATTGGTAGTTGTGCCAAATCACTACTCAGCACAAGGAGGCAATTTTTAAAAAGGCACATGCATGTATAATGAGTTTTTAAAGAACACACCAGAGGCTCTTGATGCTACAAAAAAATCTCAGGAACCTAAAGTGGAGCCTCTGTATTCGAATATGCTCCACTGTGTTCCTCTTGCTCTTAAGTAAGCATACCACACTTCCTTAGTTATCACAAAATGCCAGTAAAGGGATGTACTTCTAAGACCTACTAATTTGGCTTCCAACTCAAAACAGAAGAATGGCAGTTCTCAGAGGCTGGCAACTTTTGCCTGAGATATCATTCACAGAAAAGGCTCCTGCAGCCTTTCCCTGGCAGAACAGGCTTTTAGTCCATTTCAAGATTCAGACTGGATGGGATCTGAGCTTTAGAGTTTGTTTGAGGGTTTTTTGTAGTACTTGTCTCCTGGCACTGTTCTGACTCCAGAACACTGTTCTCACAGCTTAAGCTAGAACTGGCAAGCATATTCTCTGTATGCCTTTAGCATACTTCCACATGCACCAGATGCAGCTCTGGCTGCCACATTCCTCAATGGGCCTTCCCATTCCAAGGTCTGAGGTACAATCATTTGTTAGGCAAACAGGCAGGGAAGGTTTTGAGCAGACGTGCTCTAACATCAGCCTTAATGCCTCAGTAGATGAGGAAGCCACCATAGCTGTCAAAGCCTAGGGAACAGCAGGTGTGCTTTGTCCCTGCTCTGAATGTCCCAATTTTGGTAAGGAAAAGATAATAGTAGAACTAGCAGTGGTCTAGAGAGAGGGCCAAGGGTGATTAAAGGTGTGGACTGGTTTTCCTAAGAGGAAAAATTGAAAGAATGAGTGCTTTAGAGCTTGGAAAAGAGATACTGAATGAAGGAGAATAATGAGAACCACTGTTTTCCCATAACACCAGAACATGGTCTGCAAAACATAAAAATATTGCATGGCAGGTCTAAAACATAGGCAGATTTACTACAGGAAGAATCACAGGATCATTTAATTTTGCTTTTGGTATTGTTAAATGCTCATGAAAGGTAAGACATCTTGCTCCTGGAGTGATGCGAGTCACTGCATGTTGAGGAAAGAAAGGAACCTGAATCTTACCTTCTAGATCAGTCTCATCCCTCTTAGGATACTAGAAAAAGGTTTTCCTACAGCTATGTTTTAAAAGGAAACAGCCATTACTGTTCTTTGTGAAAAATGTAATCCTGAAAAGGCTAAAACCATGTTAACTCCTGAATCAAATTTCTTGAAGAACTTGAATTGAATCCTAACACCAAATCTAATTTCTGAAACCAAATTTTGATGTAAACATGAATTACACACTTTGTAGCTCAGAGGTCTTAATAGAGGAACAGATCTTAGTAGGTAGGGAGACAAAAATTGAGGCAGCAAGATACTTTTTGTCTCATAAAACATTGCCAACCTTTGAAGTTAAAAGCGAGCGAAGGTGTGGTAAGTGGCACAATGAGAACAGTGCTCTGTCATGTAGCAGTTTAGAGAGCATCTCTCGCATATATTCTGAATGCTCGGAAGAGGTAAATAAGAAATCTTCTAACAGCCATAGGAAACTGTGAATCACATTGGAAAAGGAGAGCAGGCATTTCCTTACTGAAGGTACTAATTTTCTTTGTAAATGATTCACTCAGCCCATCACCATAACTGCTGTCATATCCAGATTAATCTGTCATTTAACTTCCAGAACTCTACAGACCTCAACCAGGAAATTAATCTTATTTCTGTTTCTGATGATCACTCAGCTTTAGCAGAGCAAATGCCTCTCATTTTTATTGAGCAAGACTGACAAGCTAGAGCCATTGTCCATGCAACAGAGCACGGCCGACAGGTAAGACACTACCCCATACCCATTGCTAAGGTTATATAGAACAGCAACAGTTAGAATAGGTGTTGTCTGTCTTTCATCCCCCAAAATCACCGGATTAAAATCAAACAGAGAATCACTTACTAGACAGCTATGTTCACAAGAGCACCCACAAGGAATAACTACAGCTGCATATAAAAACAGACCAATTCTAAACCATCTTTGCTATTTCCTGTTCAGCTTTCTCTGTTGCAAATGGTTACAAATCTATCACTCGCCAGTCTTGTTTTCTCTTATGTCTTGTCTACTGCTCTCTTCTGGGTATAGGAGATAAGACACAATACACATGGGCTATATTGCTGCTCTGTGTCAGCTTCATATTAATCAGGGTCAGCCTGGATAAGGTATCAGTAGAACACCGATTCCTTGTATTTCTCACTGTATTTCTCACTTGTGATTCCTTGTATTTCTCACTGTACCAAATAGTTGCATAGTAACATCCTAACATCCATTTGCTTAATGTTATCAAGTCTATCTGATTGCTAGGTCTAATGTGACACTTTACAGTACATAACAACCTCTTATTACAGCAAAGACCTATCATCATTATTTTGTTTATTTTGTATTAATTATATCATGTTTCTTTTTTCTTTTTTCCATTTTTTAACTGAAAAATTAACAGCATTTCCTTAAATTCCTGAAAATGCAACTTATCTTTCCTTGTATCGTCTCCTGGTCTCAGAACAAGCCAGTTTCTGAAGGGCAGAGGAGTGAAAACAGGCTGTAATTCCAAAAAAACAGAAGTTTATTTAATTCCTGGTTCTAGAGGCAAGGAGCTGCTTTTGTCAGTTGAAGGAGATTAACAGCCACCTGGGTAGTGTGAACACTTGTAACTGATAATCACAATCAGTTCTCACTCTCTTGCCTTGAGAAAACATGCCTGCTGTTAACTCCTGCCATCCTGCTTTGCAGTCTCCTTGCACTCTCCCTTTTTAAGGCCTCTAGCAGGTCATGGCTCACTGTTTGAGAAACACTCCTATAGATAATAAATTTTCAAGCAATATTATTATTATTGCTGTGAACATATGCCAGTTGTAACAGGAATGTGTTACCCAGCAGGGGCAGAAGATAGAAATAAATATTTAGCTGAATGTGAAGAAACTTTTTTGCTATCAAGTACAAACAAAACAGTTAAAGAGAGAAGGGATGCGGACACAGTTGTCTAATAAGCAATGCCAGCTTATATATAACATCTCTTCTACAGATTCAGATCACAAATTTATTTGCGTTGTTTAGTGTTTTTGTGTAATGGTGTAACATACATACTCTACCTTGGGAAAATACTGTCTCTGGTATTAGGTTTACCATCACTCTCACTCCAGAAATCGGTGTAGTGCTATGATAGCATTAGCCAACAGATACAGGTTCAGTACTTATCACTGGGTACTTACTTTCTGGCAGCTCTCAATGAATTCATCTATGGTAACTACTCCATCTTTGTTTTTGTCCATTTTCTGTTCAGAAAGAATAAGAATATATGTTTATCCTCCTGAAATCCTATGTAAAGCAGGTCCTTTTTATTATTAATTTCAGTTATGCATCAGCCTAGGAACAACCAGGCCAAAATGTTGTAACAATGTCATGATATACTAGAATAAACTTAAGGAGGTTATTGTTGAAAAACGAAAGTGTGATGAATAGATCTGAGAAACTTGGGATGGGACCACATAGAAGAAAAAGGATTATAAAATTGGTAGGATGTGCAAAACTGTTAGAACAATGACAATCTTTCCATACCTGCTAACAGAGCAGTCTTTTCGGCTCCTATGTTACCAGACCCACCTGGAAAAATGTTTCCACATGTTGTCTAGGTGCATCCTCCTTGAGAACAGGATAGGTGCATTTCCCCATCATGTCATATATTGCTTTCATGATATCAAGCATTTCCTGAAGAGAAAAAAATATGTCTGTGTAATGTAAGGTGCATTGTAGACACTGCTTTAACTCAGAACACGTAACTGATTTTTAGGATTTTCATTTTAGAATAAAATTTTGAGATTGCGCCTGTTACTTTATGACTGAACAACTTCAAAAAGGAACTACTATGTTCCTAGAAATTTTAGCATGTTAGTTCATCTTTCAGAGATAAACTTGTTAAATAGATGCAGATGTATGATTTTGATTTAAACGATTTAGAATATGTGCAAGTTCATGGATTGTGGGAAGAAACTCCTGAGGTCTTGTGAATAAAACTAAACAGGAAAAGCAATTCTGTAACAGCAACTGAATGGTCAAATCACATCAGCTTCTTATAAGTGAGTTTTCCCTAGAAAAAATAGAAACATCCATGCACACACCTGCACATATGCAAGGAGTCCTCCTTTTATATCAAAAGCTTTGAATTTTGTTTGTAGAGTGGCTTGTGAAACTGTAAGAATAATTATTAAAAAAGTCATCTGCCAGTATGCTGAGAAATTATTCTATAGATCACCCTTTTATAATAATCACTATGTGTTTTTCTAAAGGTGTAAAATTACAGGTGTAATATATATATATTTACATAACCCATTTTGAAAAAACATATATTTTTATGAAGGCATTCATTTGGTCCCACTGTAATTTAAGTATGTGTTTGAATCATTGCAGAATAAAAGATGTAGGAATCTTTTTATATAGATTCTGTTTCAACTACATATCTTTAGAAGTAGATTCATAAAATGAGTAACAATTATGTCCCACATACTTAATTATTTTTTGTCCAAATATCCTACCAAATTACTTTATCCTAGTGACTGTATGTGCAAATACCTAGGCATAAGTTGAAGCCAAACATTTCTGTACCTGAAGGATTCTGACCTTTTACAATTTCTGTGAAGATTTTCCTTTTTAATTTTTATATATGACTCTAAAATGAGAAAATTACTTTATTTTTAGCATGTCTAGTTTCATAATATATGCTTTTTTGTTAGCACATCTAATTTTTCTATTAAGTAAGACTTAACATATACAACCTTTAGTTTCAGTGATTGGTGTTAAAAGTAGACCTTACCTCTTTAGTTATATATCCATCTTTATTTATATCATATAAGTTGAAAGCCCAGTTCAGTTTCTCCTGTACTGTCCCTCGGAGTAGGATTGAGAGACCCATAACAAAATCCTAAACAGACAAAAGGTCTTGGTCAGTTTGGAATTGAGCAGTTTTTCATAAACACTCAGAAATCCACAATAATGCATTTGTCAGAAGCATGGAAGTCTGGAAGGATGTGTTTCTATTCTTTTTCTTCACAGTAAGTGTTAAAGGATGCTGTTTTTTAAAATAATTAACAATCTAGGCACTGTTTGCTACATTTGTAATTAAAAAGTAAATTGAGTAATTTTCTATAAAATAAACCATAATTTTTTATTAGTGGATTTGTCCTCTGAAGTGCCTCACAGAAGCAGTTCCTGTTGAACTTAATGCCAGGGAAAAGCAATATCCATGGTTTAATGGTCCAAAAAAAAAAAAAGCTTAAGTGGGAGTTAGATTAATCTAAGCACAAGAGAACTATCTACTAAGGAACATTAAATTCTTGTTAAATCTCTACCTTGTTGGAAGTGGAATATGTGGTTCCCAGACCTCTTAGATCAATCTGCTGCAGTCAACATTTGAAACTTCATGTATGCTACAGTACGCCTCAATACTTAAACTTTTTTATAGGAAATATGAGAGGGAATAGTATTTATTATGTGTCCATTTAACACCTTAATGCTTTTATGAACCAGTACTCTATTGCTATAGAGCTATTCCACAGAAATAAATCAGAAGACTTTTAAGATTATTTATATGTAGTATTTGTTTATAGATTTTTGTTTCATAATCAATACTATTTTGACAGTACAAACCTCGTTTATATTTAGTGAGCATTTTCCAGATTGGAGAAAATATTAACTCGGATGTGTAATCACCTGTCTTCTGTATTTCTTATCATGTTAACTTTTTTTAAACAATGGCTTTTTTTTTTCCTAACCATCCCCTCCACCTTTTCCTATTTGATAAACTTGTAAACCCATAAATCTGTGAAATTGTCTCCATAATATGTTGAGTAGAACATGGAAAAGCTTATATTTAAATGTGCATTTCTATATGTCATTGGCAAAGACATATAGGAAGTCTTAGAATAATATTAAAGCAGAGACAATAAAAGCTGAAAAAAATCTTATCAGGACCAGCAAAGTTTATGCATTTCCTTAAAACAGGAACAAGGGAAAAGACTGCACTGAGGTTAGACATAAATTACAAAAGTCTGATGTACCACAGACTCAAATACGTGTACCCAATACAGTGAAGCATACACAGGTATCATGGCCTCAGATGGTCTAGTAGGCACAGATAGCTCTTTTGACAGCTTCTGTCTTTTTAACAATTCAGGTGGTATGCTCTGGGTTTTCTTAGGCTGTCATAAGTTTCTGTCTTACTGGTATATGTGCCCTTTGGGGTAAAGCGATACATGAATCTTGAAAGAATTTTACTCGTTTTGTCTACATCTCAATGACTAATTGAGGGTCACAGGGTTAAATCTCCAAACAGCTCTTTAACAATGTACTATTAAGTATTAAAATGTTCAAGAAATTCAGAATAGATTTGATCATATAACAGCATTAGCAATTAACCTTTGTAAATCAGTACCATGTCTTCAGATCTTTTCTGCACTCTTTTACATTCTTGATATAGCTTTTCCTGAAGTCCTTTGCAAAGGTCTCTAATAACTTTATTTTCTTAGAGTATTATATTTCAGAACTTGGAATTTATTTTTAATTTGGCATGAGCAACATTTTTCCATTTATTCTACCTAAGCCACATCTATATTTCTTTTCCTGATTATTTATCTTTTGTCCTTTCTGTGATGCACAGAGACTGTCCACTCAGAGGGACAGTCCTGCTCAGCTGAGCACCTAATGAGGAGAGGCGCCTCTGATCTAGAGTCACAAAGGAGCCTAAAACTCTGGAGGAGGTCTGGACTGAGACACAGCTCTAGGTCAGGTCTCTCTTCAGCCTGTGACAGTGAAGTTAGAAGCACAGAACTCTGTGCTTTGGTCCTTGCCTTTACTACTTTCCACAGCTTCCTATTTCTAACTTATTGACTTCCTG